ATTAACTGTATATTGCTCTGTCACGAAGATGAAAGGCCACAATTCCAGGAGAAGACCATAGACTCCCTCGTATGCCCACGGACTCCGCGACGACTCCAAAATCGTCCTATCTTGTAATAATTTTATAAAAAAAATTGTAAAAAACGGCACGAACTCGAAACAATATACGGCATATAAGGCATCTATTAATAGAATGCCGTATATGTAGAGGCCTGAGTATACGTATCACAGTTGCAGCTCGCGGCAGCACTTGTAGGTGGGTGATTCAACGCGGTAGGCAAATGTCGGCAACGTCGCAGTGACTGAGTATGTGGTGACTTCATGGGACGTCGCTATGCGTGGACAAAGTCTAGCACAAGCGCAGGCAGAAGTGTTAGAAGCGAGGGCTATTCAAGTCATTCGTAACTCGGTGACGACTCGAGGAAGACGCGATTGCTCCAGAGTGGGACTGGTTCCTACGCGTCTTTTAGTTAAATTTGCAGCTCATAGCAAAGCGGATCTGGCATGAATGTGTTTGTGATGATCGGAAAACGACTAGCAGTTCGTGGTAAGGCTTAGCCAATCTGATGCCGGAAGCTTTCGCTGTTATGGGCTACACTTAGCCATTACATGAAGGTACACATATATACCTTTTGTATGCAATGTGGGAATTTAAAAGAGAAGAAGAAGGTTACAGTATGGTGTTCCCACATGCATACGTGACATCTTATATAGAGTCACAAAAATTCTGTGTGATACAGAATGATGGTTTCTACTTGGAAATTTGTACTGGTGACGAGATCGACGGATACTTTCCACAAAAGTTAAAATTTCTTTTTTTCTAAAGTTCAAGCTCCGTACACCCAGCGACCTCGTAGGGACCCATATTTCCCTTGTCTTGATGATGCCCACAATTGCATCACATTCTGCTGAAGTCTTCCCAGAAGGGTAGTCAAAAGATCACTTCCCATCACGCACAGAAGCTAGACGCGTACAAAGGTTGCCAAACGTGAGTGGGTGCTCGCTCCATTATGTTGTCGCCAGTGGCCGTCTTTACATGTTGTACAGACTCCTCTTCACGTGGATTTAGCTAGCGCCTTAGTATCAGCAGTCTTCCACTCTGCAATCGTTTGTGCCATCGTTCTGTCTGGCTTCATCTCAATGTGGCCGAGAACTTTTTTGTGCTGAGCGCCATACGCTCAAAAAAAACTCCCACGGTTAGTATTTCAAGTCGAGAAGCGTTTGGTTGCTTGCCTTGATTCCGCTCTGGCTCATAACCTTTTAAAGTCAAGCAGAGCTGGGACTGCTTACAGAATGGTAAATGAAATTTAAAACTTTACCCAAAATTCTAGCACACCTTGATTTTAGGTCGAATGTTCTGGAAGGTGGAGCATAATGCACCTGATAGTGATTCGCATACAGATACAAAACAAATGCAAAATCAGGGGAGTCTGAATATCCTTTACAATTCCGTGGTGTGTGCAAATCTAGCCTCATGCTAAGAAGTTTTAGTATTGTATATTGTAGAGCATACTTATAAAAAACAGGTTAGATAAAATAAATTTGACACAGAACTAGTTCAGTTTCTTGATGGAAACATGCGGACACATCTTCTGCTCGTTTGTTGAAGTGAACTAGCGCAAGTTGCACGAACAAACCCATCGCATGTCGTATCGTCCACATTGTCTACATGATATTTATGTAAAGGATCTCTGTCTGGTCGTTAATTGTCTTGACGAGTGGAATCCAATAGGGTTTGACTCCATTTCCTAATTTTAAGTTGTTACTACCAGAGTGTTTGCTAATGATGTTGTGCCAATTTCGCCACGACGTAAATCACGGGATTGTATCTGTTGCTTTTTTGTACAATCAGCTAGCTTACAATAGCAGACACGGTGACTCGTTTTATCAAATTTGTCTTGCGAGCTCCTATGACAATCATGGGACTCCATGATAACAAGTCATCATTCCGAAAGTTGCTTCGTCTAACAAGCCTAAATTCCGATCGAAATGAATTTCAAGCTCGCAGCCTTTGTCGCAACATGTGTTGTGCAGGCCTGCGCTTCCAAAAGACATGAAGTGTCCAAATGGTATCCCTGTCCCCTTTTCTCTAAAACTGTGGGTCTTGATAACGAAACAGCAGCTCTGACAGCAGAGTGTGGCAGATTCTCGGCACCTCTGTGCTACTCTGACGTCTGTACAGCACCAGAGAGTGTGAATCAGACGATTGAAATTTTTGTAAAACGACTTCCTGCCTTTGAGCCCGAGACTGCTAATAATTTATGGATTCTGGACGCGTCCGTCGAACAAAGAAAGTAGATCTCTAAATGAATGGCTTGTATCATTAGTAACCTTTGGGAGATTGTTTATACGTAGGGGAAAGTTCTGCATATCTGCTAAAGAACAAACTGACTATAGGTACAAACGTCTATATGATGGATGCTCGTGGAAGCGGGAAGAGTACAATTCTGGGTTGTGGAGTGACAACAAGAGATCCAAAGTATGATTTTATAATGGACCTTGCTCAAGTTGAGTCATGTGCTTCAG